AATTTACAATTTTATTAAATTTAGTCTGAATTTTTAAAAGCTGCCTTTTGAAATGCTTGTTGCCCCAGACTACAAAAGATGTAATCAGTTACAATAGCAATGCTACAGGCAACCATAAGCTCTAACTAGTGCTCACATAAGCAAAGGGAAAAAATCCCAGACCATTTAAAACATAATGGGATTAAAATCTGCTTCTGCAATCTGATGCAGGACTCTGTCAAATGCAAGGATGAGTGGTGTCACTTTTAAGAACTGATTTTACCAGCAGTTTGTTTCTTCAGCATAAAAGTATCTAAAATTGAAAAGTCTACAAAGAAAAGCATTTCTCATTCTTAGCAATGCTTCATTCCTTTTGAAAAAAGATCAATTACAAGGCAAAGACATACAAGCAATGTTTCTCCCTCCTAATATGACTGGTACACACACCAATGAACTAGGGCATTCTGGAAGCACTGAAGAAGAAAAACATATGTACATTTCTTTCATGTCTTCTCTTAACCACAGAACAGAGTTGTGACATAATCAATAAACTTGAGAAAATAGACACACTGGGTACAGCTGTGAGGGCAACTGAATCTTGACATAAAATCTAGCATACAAGCCTCAAGTGTTCCTGCAGAAAATTTTTGGGTTATTTAGGAAATGAGTCTCAAAAAAGCAAAGAAGATATTGAAAATTGTAAAATAATGGAATTACTGGAAAAAAAAAACACTCTAGGCCGTGAAGAAGATACTGATGGTAACACAGTGAAGGACGATGCATCAAGATAAAATAAGTTGACAGACCGTCTAGCTTGACAAGACATTTCTTCCCTCCAAAGAAGTACGAGTCCCCCCTTTTTTAAATTTTACATATAATTTCTTTAACTTTTAACAACTATTTAAAGTATATTATACATTTCTGTGTCATGGATTGTGATATATCTTTTATTATAGTAATCAGTAAAATATTTCCTTAAGTTGAAAATAATCCACTTCTTACTTGGTAACTTGTCTTTCTCCAGTCTACATTAATTCAAACTTGTAGGCCTCTAATGCTTCACCTTGAAGGCCATAAACAAGCAAATTTAGATGCACAGCTGCTTTCAATAGAAACAGAAATACTTCTGTTCTTATAGTAACAAAGAAAAAACTTAGAAAATTAACCTGTTAAGCATCCTTGCCTGTTAAAGGAAAATATAAATGTAAGGATAGAACGAAATGTTTTTTCAAGAATGAGCATAAAATTTTGGCCAAAAAATATCATTAAATGAAAGTATTCTATCACTCCTTGATAACTGTACTGTACATTGCCGAGATCATAGGGGAAATTCGTATTGTATAAGAGCAGAATTTCTTTCCTCAGAACTCAGTTCTACAACCTACTTGATCATATGCCTTTTAAAAGCATTACATAAAATGAATGAAAAAATTTTAATTGGATTAGACATTGAAAACCATACAATTTACAGATATGCTAAATTGCTCACCACCCCAAAACACTTGGGATGAATATAAGCACACATTGAAGATTTGCAATTGATTCCTTGTGGCAGGATTTACTAAGGAAAAAAAATCTTCAAAATTTTTTTCCAATTCCTTGCAGTAATGAAGGTGTGGGACTTTGGCCACTGATGCAGATAAGGAACATGAAACTTTCTTAAAAAAGTGAAAAGATTATGCAGCATATGAGAAAAATACTTCATACATAGATTTATTCACAGAAAATATTACTGAAAATTCATTAAATTTTCAACTAATCTACGCTAGCAATTCTGCTGAAGAAACAAAGGAAAATATCTATAAAAATTGAATACTGCAAAATTTGTTCCAAAGAGAAGAAAATAGAAGCGAAATTTTTAATGCTGCATAATGCTTGCCAATACTTCAGAAGATGAGAAATCCATATATTTATAAATTTAATAATCCCTCGTTTGATTTTAAGCTTTTTCATATACAGGGTATCCCTGAACGGCGTGTACAAACTTGGAGGGGTTGTAGGGAACATCGTGAGAAACCATAAGTACATCGGAAAGCATAAGCAGAAACAAAACCCTAATGAGATAAACAAACACAAACCGCAACACATAATGTAGTGTAATTTGCTTTATTACACACACACAAAAATAAATAAATAAATAAATAAATAAAAACCATGACATTAAAGCATCACAAGAGGTGTGCGGAAACTGGCATATATGCAAGCACAACACCGCTGTGACACGTTAAAAAATACCTCGCGTTTCATGGATCGTAGCAGTAGTGATGGATATTTGTGCCACCAGATCCATTTCAGAATTCATATGCGTGTTGTACATGACACTCCAGAGAAAAAAAACCCAGAGGAGATAAATCAGGGTTTCTGGGACGACAAGTGATGGGACCACCACACCCAATCCACCTGTTTGGAAATATCTGATCCAAATGGTCATGCATACACCTTCCATAATGAGATGGTGACTTGTCCTGTTGAAACCACATGTGCCGTCTAACAGGTGTGGGGACACTGATAAGCAGTTCCAGAGGTACCTCCTGTAGAAAGATGAGATAATTGTCAGAGTCCAATTGAGGCAGAAGGATGTATAGGCCGAGTAAACTGTTCCCTACAATACTTGCCCACACATTAATAGTGAAGCATTGTTGTGTGGCTTATGGTCGGGTGCTATGTGGGTTGCTCAAGGCCCACATGTACGCGTTGTGCATATTGAACACCCCTTAATGTGAAAAGGTTGCTTCATCACAGAACAAGATGGAACTGGCAAAGTGCATGTCTGCCGCACTTAGGTTAACAAACCACTGTGCAAATGCGACATGTCGTAGGTTATCTGGCTGTAATAACTGCACCCTCTGTAGAAGAAACGGATGTAAGGTTTTGCCCTGCAGTACACGACATAGTTATTCGAGATCTTCCGGTTGCAGTGGCAAGCACCTGTATACTGGTACCGGGATTTCAGACCACAGCATGCAACACACCCTCTGTGAATATGGGTGTTTATGCCCTTCATGGCTGCTCAGTATCTTCTATCCTGGCTCCGAAGGATCCATGTTCCGCCTACCGTTTTCCGATGTAATTATGGCTCCTAACAATGTTCTCCACCTCCCCTCCAAGTTTGTACATGACATTTGATGACACCCTGTATGTAAATTCATGGTTTTTGAAAGGCAACATCTGGCAATAGATAACAAAAGCAAGCAGAGGTACCACGAAAATGTTAGTGAACATAACTTCGTCCATCCTGAAAGTTTCTTTTGAACAGTGTAATTTGAGGGTAATGTATGCTCTTGGAAAAAGGTTTCGATCATTGACTGTAATTCTAATTTGAACTATAAAATGGTGATTTTCTTATGTCAAAGAGTGCCCCTACACATATTTTTAAGAAAAGCAGCGTATATAAACTTGTAGGAACTTAAGTAAAAGGTTTAATTTTGGCACTTTATTTCAATATTGAAACATATGAAATGCCAAATTTTGGCCTAATTTGTTTTGTATAAATTGAAAATGGATTGTTTCCTTACTCATGGCCTATATATCCACATGGATATCTGTCATGTAAGCAATCAGATGTATAGGGTTCTTGTTGTAGATTTTTATCTGGTTACCAGTTTTCTTAGATAAAATTTTAAATTGACTTTTTATTACAAATGACTGAAAGCATAAACATATAAATTACACAATATTGTCAATTCATTGGTTATTTGGAATTTCATAGGAACAGCAATTAATAAAAGAACTTTTGCTCATTTTTCAGCAACATTCTTTTTTTTTCAATCATTTGTCATAAACCATTTTTTTTAGGGAAAGTGGATTCTCCTAGATTACTGATTCTTAAACTATGATTCACTGATCTCTTGGCATCCACGATTAAATATTCGGAGATTAGCGAGAGATTCTGCATACTTTAAATTTGTTTTATTTCATTTTGAAAAGTAATGCTTGTTGTTACAAGTCTGGCAAAATATACATCATGTGAAACGAGTCTTTAACTCAAAATTTAAGAACCTTTGCCCTAGATGAGTTACAACATAAATAGATAAATATATGCTAATATTGTTTCAAATACATCACACTTTTCTAATAGTGAATAATTTTATTAAAATTACATTTTCACTATAATAATTTCAAGATAATTCAGAAATATGCTACATGCACCTGATCATTAAATTAATAGAGAAAAGACAGGTAGTTCATTTTCTGTGACTTGCTATTGTGGTTATGTTATTTTTGGAACAGACACCAGCTAGAAAAAAAATGAATAATGATTTGAGGTCAATCCCTGTGCATATATGTTGATCTTCCCATTATTTGGAAGAAAAAAAATCACACCAAACAATTTTGAATCAAGTTAAGCTGACAGATTACATTTTTTTAAAAAAAAACTTGATGTTAATTTCTGTGCAGTATGTGTTGTTCCAACTTATTTGTTTTCATTTTCCCAAGAACTGCATACGGGTTAATATTAATAAAAACTGCTGACTCTGTTTTTTAAATTACTGCATTATTCTTCATTAAAAAAAAGCTATTCAGATTATTATGAGGACCTCTGAGTTTTCTTATGATTTCAGCTTTTTTTCTATTAAAAATCATTTCACGATTCTAATTAAGAAAGAAAAAGTACATACTGGAAACCAGTACCTGCAAAGGCTGGGTTTTCTGCAAAGGATTGATATACTGCAGAAAAATTTAAAATCCGCATAGCATTAGAATATGCTCATCTGAATACACAGCTACAGTAACAAAAAATATTTGTATTTATAAATAACAGCCTTAATTACAATATTTACAACGAATACAAAGCCTTATTAGTTTGCTTGAAATGTTTTTTTGTTCACAGACCCATAAAAACTACTTTACAGCTTTTAAATGCATTGTTTTCACAAACATGAAGGTTAGTCAACCTTGTACTAGATATACACACTGGACTGTAAACTTTAAAAAAAAAAAAAAAAAAAACAGCATAAAACCACTTTAGAAATTTCTGAGCAGTGTCATAGTCTTTGAACAAACTCCAATATATAATTTACCTCATTGAGCTTGTTGTGTCTCAGATCTAGAACTTTTAACTCTTTCAAATTAACCAAGGTGTCTGGCAGACTTGTCAATGAATTTTCACTTAGAGCGAGAGTTCTTAAATTGACTAATCCACCTATTTCAGGGGGAAGAGTTGTCAGCTTGTTGCCATACAGATAAAACTCTGTGAGATGAGTTAGATCTCTGACTGAAGGTGGAAGGACAGTTATCTAAAACAGAAGGAAAACAAGACAATCATTCAAAATATCATTCTTGTAAAGGAAAATTATTTCAAAATTCATTATTAAATTGACTGAAAACTTTGTATGTAGCTGAATCAACTACATTATATAAAGAAAATTATCAAGAATGTTACTAAAGAATTGATAATATATACCTGGTAAATATATTTTTTATGCTCCAGCTATCAAAATATGTATGGCTTTGCTATGTTACCACTTATGCATTACTCAATGAAATTATACATCCACCAAGTTTAAGTTTTCAAGCTATGGTTAATTCTTGATATAGGATATCTAATAGCACGAAAGGTTTCAGCAGAAGCTTAACACGAGTTGGTTAACATTTAGATCAGTTAAGATTCTTGTCAATAAAAAAGACTGCATTAAAACAAAATATTTTGACAAATACAGACAAGTAAAAAATGCAACTACAACTCACTACTTGTGATCAGTTAAATCTTTTATCACTTATAAACTATAGTAAATTAGTTACTTTCCACTTAAATTTTTGACAAGGAAACTAAATAAAAAAATTATAAAATTTATTCCCTCTTTTTTTTTTTTAAGTCCATCAAATAGTTTCATTTTATAATCATTCAAAATAACAGATACCTTTATTTCTACGTGAAATTAATTCAGTCACATGCCTAATATGAAATTATCTGTTTCGTCAACATTGTTTCTTAAACTATTCAACCTACATAGTTAAAAGGTTATTTAATATTTTTTTGATTCAGTCTAATATGCAGTATAAGCCACATTCCACTATTATGCTGGCATAAGAAAAAATATTTGGCACTAACAAACAAGCCTGCATTACAAATTTACGAGTATCAGATATATGCATTTGGTAAGAAAGAACTGTTTAGGTTTGCAATTGCTGAATGATTCAATGTAAGAATTTCTGGAAGCTTACCAAATAATGTGCACACACACACACACACACACACACCACACACACACAAAAAAAAAAAAAAATTAAATTAAATAAATAAAAGGGCAACATGTGAAGCTGAGAAGAATGAGTTCATCATTCAAAAAAAGCTTAGATCTTTCTGAAGTAATCTCACTTAATGCTGCAATAAAAAATTACATGAAACCTTTTTCACTTAAACATTAAAATATTGATAAACTAATCATGAATCATCATAACCTTATGCCTGCAATAAGTACAAAAAAATTAATGAAATGTAAAGACTCAACTGGATGCACAATCAATCAGCTTAACTTCTTACAGGCTAATGTTCCCAACTGGGAACATCAAACTGAAAATGAATTTAAAAATGGAATTTCATCCATACTGACATGACAAAATTTATAAATGAAATATGACTTGATTATAAAAATCAGGTTTCAGACATAAAATGGGCTGAAATTTAGAATAGGATATCCCCCCTTCCAGTTTTCACATTACACAAAAATTCATATAAAACTGAAAAACAATTCAATATTTCTAAAAATCAGGAGAAATAGTTATAAAGTTTCACTTTATTAAAAGAACATAAATAATAATAAGAAATTCATCTGCTATAATTTGATAATGGATAAACATGGATAAACTTCCATGTTTTCAACTAGGAACACCGGCCAGTAACCACTATTCTGTCAAAGGAATTCCCCTTACCTTGAATTTCCACTAAAACAGTGTGTATGTGTGTGTGGGGGGGGCTTTTTTTTTCCTTAGATTTTTTTTAGAAAGGGGAAATCCCCTTACATTTCAGGAAGGTAATCCCCCTAGTTAATCCTTTCATTTGTACAAAGGGAAATTTCCTAATTCTGACAAAGGAAAATTAGATTTCTATTCATAACCTAGAATATTTGTCTCACATTCTGTGGTGAAAGGTGTTGAATATTTTTTAGTCTGTGAATTATCATAACATGGAGGCACATTTTAGAACTGTAGAGGCAGCTATCTGTTAAGACTTACCAATTTTATCAATCAGATGTTTATAATGAATCTGAAGTTTGTCAAATTCCTTCAGAAGAAACAGATAAAATCTCTGAAGAAGAGAACATAGATGACAATATTTTTAATCTTATTGTGCCTTCTGATGGTCACAGGTTAGTACTACTAACAGACTCTCAATTAGCAAAAACAGTTCTAAAGAACAAGTTACAGAGCCAACTTTGAACGAACAATAATTCATGAAAAAAGTGAAGTCTTGTATACCCAAATGGAAAAAGAAATCTGTTTTTAAAAAGGGCATCAAAAATGAACCAACAGAGGAAATTGGTTATAAGTTTCTAAAATTAAGAAAAGCAATATCTATTGATTTAAATTTTTTTTTTTTTTTTTAGATTCATTCCCTAGAAATATATAAATTAATTGGCCAAATGACATCAAATTATGCAGCTCAAAAGGGGAATAAATTACAAACATATAAACTGACTGAAAGGGTTATTCAAATACGGGGAAAGCATGTAAAAGCTATTTGCCTTAAACCGACTGGAAAGATATTGTTCCGTTTTTCTGATTACTTTTATTATGTGGATATCTTCAAGTACCATTTGGAAATGATTGTGTTATTACTAAAATATAGCCTCATCATTAAAATAAAAATATTTCTTTCACTCATTCAAGATAGAGAGCAATCTAGAAAACAAAAGACAAAACTTACTTACTTACCTGGGTAGTGTGATGATGAATTGAAACCAATGCATGGGAAATAAAAACTCGAAGAAGTTGATTCATCTAATTATATTCTATCTACACTACAACATAATACAATTAAACTAAAATATATACATTATTTAACAATTTAAGGGACATTTTACTGTCCCCTAAAGTTATTAAACATCTTAATCAATTCACGTCACGAGGTCAAAAGGGAAAAACCCTTTTTCTTTTCCTACTTCAATGACAGCCAATGCCATCTGTACCTCGTTCATCAAATGAAGAGATTTGTTTTTAATGTTTGTAAGATACTACTAATCAGTTTCACAATGGATTGCTACAGTCCCAGCTGTCCCTAGACGTAACGTAACTATTACGTTACGTCATAAGACAAAGACATTAAAAGAAACTTTCATCTGAAGGATAATTCTGCATTGCATGCTGGTGATAAACAGGATAAAATTCAACTAATTTATGATGAACTGGACAAAAATACATTCAGTTTTGGATTATTTCACAATGCAGTTAGCACTACTGAATCAATGTTTTCATTTTCCAGTCACCAATCTTCTAAAATGTTCATTTGTGAAAAACCATTTCACTCCGGATTCAAAATTTGGAATATTTGAGCTATCAATGGTTACATAAGATAAAAATTTATGCATTAAAACAAATAAATCAATATGCACCTCTTGATATTAGAATTGTCAATGAGTTTCTATCAGTGGCTACTAACCCTCTTCAAGTAGAAACAGTTCTTGATAACTTTTTTACTTCTTATGATTTGATGAAGGAAACTAAATATATACATAAAAGCTACAGGACTATACAAAACATCAAATCTAGAACTGTCCACTAATGCCTTCTATAGAGATGAAAAGAAAAACATTTATTTGATTTCATTTTTTTTTAGGTATATGCGATACCAAGATCAGTATTCATGTGCCACTGGAATGATAATTCTGCTGTGACTGCTTGAAATTATTGCTCTCACCTTCCAATCCAGTTAATATTCATGTGCAGAAATATAATAAAGATATTCACATGCAGAAAAGAAAAAAGTAGATGTACAATGACCAGATTCATAAATACAATTCTGGAATGAGTGGAGTAGATAGAATGTTAAGCAGCTACTATTACCATCTTTGCAATAAGAAATGGTGGTGGAATTTATTTGCAAATGCATTAAATATGGCTGTTATGTGATAACATCAAAAGATAGTATCCTGCTTTGAAAAATTTAAAAGGCTACACAAGTGTAAGAATTGAGCCTTTCTATATTGCTAGAACTGAAAACCGTAACTCAGAATGAAGTGCCATGCCGAAATGCTATTCAGAATGCTGTCACCAACACTGTAATTCAACTAAGTTGTGGCATTCTAATGCAGGTCATTAAACCTTATTTCAACTAAGTTGTGTTAAACACTGTAATGTAGGTCGTGAAACATTTGCAACTTAATAAACAACCTGCTACTGCAAACTGCATTCTCATCATTTGTTTTCCAAATTATTTTTTAATAGTTTGAGAGATTCTGATCCATTCCATTCCGTAACAGAAAAATAAATTTAAGGTATATATCTTAAAAGACATATCCCCTCCCAAAAGAGATTAAAGAGGAATATTATATGTAAAAAAACACACACAAATGTGTAGTGATTCAAATGATATCTGTTTTACAATTACAAAAATGAAGCTGAAAGTAAAAGTTGTTTAAAGTCCAATTAGAATTTTCAACACTACTCTGCACAGATGTATATAGAGAATTAAATGTATTGAAATTTTATGGACATTTTTAATAAATTAAAATTACATCCAACACAGTTGTGAAGAAAATCCTTTACAGTAAAATAATAGCTTTGTTTCTTTGATTAGGATTGTAGATAATTTAAATATTAAGAAAATTATAGGATAGACAATTTATTAAATGCAAAGTCGGGCACTTACGCTTGATTTACTTAAGTCCAGCCTGGTTGAACCTTCTTCCTTGCAACGAAGAAATTCTTTGGCAACGTCCTACAAACGTTAAAACATTAAAATTAATAGTTATTACAATGAAACAACACTATTTCCTTATTTATTACACAAAGCACATAAATATTAAAAAACCATTTAAGAGAATTATTCATTTAATAAGCATGCAAAAGTTTAACTCTCGCTATGAAACACCTTGCACTTTTCCTAGTAAATTCACAAGTGCAACCGTGATTCGTGATTTTAAAGTGTAATGCTAAATAGTAATCTGTAAATTAGGTAAATGCTAATGAGTTATATTTTATGTCTTATATCGGTATACCCTGATTAATAACAAATAATAAATTATGTTACTCATATCTATACAGCTTCTAGGAGATTACCGTAATTTCTGGAAGAAACGTCGCGGCGTTACGTGTTTAAAACTTAAATTTTCAGCGGGTGCGGCGTTTAGGTGCACTAAAAATAAAATATTTCCTATGATGGTCATTGTACATAGTTTGGATGCCCTTGTGCATAGACTGGTGCTATTCCCACACAAAAGACCACTCAGTTGCTTTTTGCGAACGTTATTTTGTTTACATTCTTTCCCTTGAACGGACCTACATGCCTTATTCACCCTAAACAAGATCTCAGAACAATAACATTCTTCCCCCTTTCAAATCAACATTCTCATCAGTTTGAATAGTCTCTTTCCTCTGCCATTCGATGAATCTTCCAGGACCCGTCCTCTCCCCACCCCTGCCTTTTCTGCAATTTTTTTCAAAAAGCGGACACGACTCCACTTGCCTTGCAATAACGAACTCTGACGTATTTCCCCTTCAGCATGAATGGATTTTTCTTGGCATTCTGCCAAATACAGATCCCATCAGTTTGGGTACAAGTACTTGTTGGGTAGTTTTTAAGTAAGAAGGGAGCGGAAAATTTTTGAAAATGTCTCTAAACGGCACAGAAGCTATACATTTCTTACCTTTAATTTATTTTTGAGTTATGGTTTCATTTCATGCATTTTTCTTAACTGGTATGTCATATATCAGGACTTAGGTTGAGTTTTTGCATCTATACGGCCCACGACGTTGTCACGCGCAATTTAATCTATTGTGGCGTTTCTGTGTAATTTTAATTTTTTCCCACCATTTTTATCGAGTGCGGCATTTACGCCGATGCAGCCTTTCTTCCGGAAATTACGGTAGTTTTAAAATGCATATGAATGCTTATAAATTTGTATAATGGCAATAAATGCATACTATATTACTTTGGTCATATGAGCGATATGTGCAGCATTCATAAAATATGAAAAAAGCAGATATTCAGATATATAAAAGAAAATATTCAGAAGTACATTTCAAAAGAAATAAACAAAACAGTAATAAAATGACAATGCATTGATTCTGCAGTCAAGAGAATCTGAGAATAATGACTAGGTGCAAAATAATAGCGAGGAGATGATAGGGGAAGAATCACACTTTTAGCCAGTTAAATTACAATGATCATAAAATTTATTTAGTCTTAAAACTGATTTATTAATGTGTTAAATTTTTTTTCAGTCCTCATATGCTAATGCCAATTGAAAAAATGCATAATACTTAGATTTTAAATTTATTTTCATGGTAAATTAAAATTAATACAATAAAATTCAAGTTTGGATGTGATATATATTCAAATCAAAAATACTAATATATGCATTAGATATTGAAATTATTATTCAGTTAAACAAGTACTTCACCACTGACATTTAACATAACTCGCAACTTCTGTGTTAAGTAGGATATTAAACGGTATATTTTTAAATTGGAGATATTAAAGCTCTAATGACAGATTTTATTATATAAAACAAATTAATATAAAAGCATTGAAATACAAAAATAGTTTAACTAACTACACACACACTAAAAAACACTTAAATAGAAGAACAGTGAAAGAACACATAAATCTCAGATAGAAAGATAAACACAATATTAAGCAGCTTATATAAGATGAAAATTTAATTTTAACATACTATATGAAGATGAGTGAATGAAATAACTGGAAAATGATGAGAATGAAGCATTATTATTCAGATAATGGTCTTCATGAGACATCTTCATTTATCTTTTCTTTGTCTCTTGGCAGCACTCAATTCTGCTTAAGACTTGGTGGGTCGCCCTTTTGACTCAAATTTTATCCAATGCAATTTGTTGTCTATGTTTTAAAATATTTTGAAAGTGAGAAATGATATTCTCATTAAAAATGTTAATGCTACAGCTTGCTACTGTATCATCAGAGTGATAACGTTGCATAAAAACTTTATATTTACAACACTTTGTGAATCCAAGAACTTGGACAATCTTTCCTTTATCCTCAAAAGACTTTCCTCCACAACTGCTTCAGGGTTCGTACACATTTTTGCACACGAAAATTAAGGACTATTAATGAAAAAAATTAAGGACCTATGAGCAATGAGAACTGAATAAATTCAATTAAAAATATTACTACGCCTGAATTTCACTTTTGTAATTTCATTCAAAAAATAAAATAGATCCCTAAGTATGACACATTATTATTAAACATGAATTAATTAAAGTTTGAGAATAAAATAAACTTCATGCAATTTATCAAGTAGCATTCAATATTTTTACACTTATAATAGTTGGACATATTTGAAAGAAGACACGTGACGGTTACGTTTTACTAACAGCTTTATGCTGATTTTTTTTATGTCTTATTTTGTCACATACTTATTCACTCTAGAGGTTTACTAAATAGCATGTAGATTTTATGTCAAGCGTCATAGGTTAAAATGAAAAGTAAGATCATAATCAGCATGACTGAATGTTGTCACCGCTGATGCTTGTCTAGAGAGAGACCTGCTGATTAGAACAAACTTGAAAGGCCTGTTGTAGACACAGCTGGCAAGTTTTGAAAGTTAGTTGGGCTTTGTTTGATGCAGTTAGTGTCGTAGCTTCGTGTACAGTTCCAGAGGTTGTAACCAGTTAATATACAATGTACGTCCAGAAAGTAATAAAATTGTTTACAGCTACAGAAAAGTTATTTATTGCACAAAATTCAACAACTCTTAAACTACTTTTCCACATAACTGCCGAAATATTGCAGGCATTTGTCATAGCGTGGCACAAGTTTTTGTATACCTTCTTCATAGAAATTTGCCGCCTGTGTCTTCAACCAGTTGGAAACAGTTTCTTTCAGCTCGTCGTCATTGTTCAAGTGTTGACCGCCAAGGAAAGACTTAAGAATGTAAGAACAGATGAAAGTCGCTAGGAGCGAGGTCAGGGCTGTACGGAGGGATGGTCAAACACATCCCAGCCAAATCCCTGTAGGAGGTTTTTCATCACATTTGCAGTGTGTGGTCATGCGTCGTCGTGAAGAAAAACAACACCTTTTGACAGCATCCTCGGCGCTTATTCTGTATTGCGGGGCACAATTTCCGAAGTGTCTCGCAATAAGCATCTGCTCTGATTGTTTGACCACGCGGTAAGAAATCAATGAGTAAGATGCCTTTCCAGTCCCAGAACACTGTGCACATCATTTTTCGAGGTGTCAAGATTTGCTTCGGCTTAACCTTTGCTGGGGATGAAGTGTGCCTCCATTCCACTGATTGACGCTTACTTTCAGGGATGTCATAAGAAACCCAAGTTTCATCTCCTGTGACTATCTGTGTCAGAAATTCTTCGCCGCTTTCAGCATAACGGGTCAAAAACTGAAGTGCACTACCCATCCGTTTTGTTTTGTGTTGCTCAGTAAGAATCTTTGGTACCCAACGTGAGCAAAGTTTACGAAATTTCAGTTTTTCGGTAACAATTTCATGCATTAGTGATCGTGAAATTTGGGGAAATTCCACAGGGAGAGCACTAATTGTAAACCTACGGTTTTCATGGATCTTGTCATCAATCGTGTGAAGATGGACGCCCACTTCGTTCTTCATCATGCACATCACTACGTCCGTCATTGAACTTTCAGACCCATCTTCTCACCATTAAATCACTCATCGCTTTTGGTCCATAAACATCGCAAATTTGCCAATAAATTTCACTAGGTTTCACTTTCCTCGCATTCAGAAAACGAATCACAGATCTGATTTCACAAGCAGCGGGATTTTCAATCAACACTGACATTGTAAACAAGCACAACAAAGCGTACATGACTGACAGCGATCTCCAAATGGCACGCGTTTCTTCTCCTTGATACAGAGCATCTACTGCTCATGTGCGGAACTGCGATCGCAGAGCTGCAGCGGAGATAAATTGAAACGGGACTTACTTTCTGGATGTGCCTCGTACTTTAAGGTTCCAATAAGCCATTAAAGCACCAGAGGTGATAACTTATTTTGTATTATTTTAAGTCTCACTAGATGCAAAGAATAAGTTTTACTTGAATTTACTGTGTTTTATTTTGTGACTATGGTGAGGATTAATGAAAGGCAATGACTCACTTTAATATGCAAAGATAATTTTTAAGAGTAAGCAGATGGTTCTAAATAATTAAATTAGGTAGTTAGATAACCTTCGTCATTATGGATTTACATGATCGTCATTATAGATTTACATGATCACTGTTAAATTTTATTTTAATAATATTTTAAAAAAAGCTCTATTAAAATCAAAATCTAATAAAATTTCACAGTTTAAAATACATGTAATTTATGACATTGATTCTTAAACAATATTAGGATAATTACACATAAAAAGCTACAAAACATTTATGTTTTGTAACAACACTCAACAAGATATTTATCCGTCATTTTAATTTGAAGCCTTCCCAGACATTTTGGCTAATTTTTATCGATTTCCTTCTCTTTAAGCATCTTTTCTAAGAATCAGAAATTTGTCTCAATACACAAACCAATGTTCTGACTAGTTTTCTGCTTTATCTGCTAACTTGTCAACCTCTCCACAATACAACTATGAGGGTTTACTTGATCTGGTAAAAGTTAAATAGTTCCAAACCCTGTGACAGATGTGAAGCAACTTATTGCTATGTGGATTTACACGATCACTATTAAATTTTATTTCTTTTTTAACAATATAAAAAAGCCATATTTAAAT